ATGAGTATGCAAAAAAAAGTGACTGTTATGTAACCAGTTGTGGCAAGAGGCCGCTTTTGTGTGACTCTGTAGAAATGTCCTTGGGACCAAGGTCATGTGTCTTTGTCTAGAGAGAATAAAATATATGACATCTGCCTGCAGCTCATCACATCTTGTTTAATTTTCTGTTGCCTTCAGACCCTCCATCTCTGGTCCCAGAGCTCAGTCATCAGCATCTTTCTCCTGTTCTTCTGTTTCTTGCCACTCCCTCTTGGTCTCCTGCTCCTTCTTTTTAGTAGATGCACAGTAGAACTCTGGGCTGGAAGCCATTGCTCATTGTCCCTCAGTCCCTGACACACACACACACACACACACACACACACACACACACACAGCCCTGGCTGTCCTGGAACTCACCCTGTAGACCAGGCTGGCCTCGAACTCACAGAGATCCACCTGCTTCCCGAGTGTTGGGATTAAAGGTGTGTGCCACCACCACCCAGCTCTCTCTTGTTACTTTAAGTAGTAGAACTGCCACGTTTGAACTGTGTCCCTGGTCAGTCAGCCACTAGAAACTCATCTCAACCTCCTCTGCAGCCAGATAGGGAGGCCGTAGGGATGCCAGCAGAAGGGACAAAATGACTTGCTGCCTTCTTGGTTTTGATCCTACCTATGTTCGTTCTCTCAATGGCACAGGCTTTTACTCATCAGCTGACTCGCGTCCCCAGCCAGCCTGTCTCCAGACTCTTGATACGTCCCAGTGGCCTTTGCCCTTCATCGTCTGGTAAGAAGATCACACTGAGCACATCCCAAATGGGTGTCCTGGTCTTTCCTCAGGACATACTCCTCCAAACTCCTTTCCATAAAGTTTCACCTCAGTCCTCTTCCTCCCATCCCTGAGGCCAGCATGCCCACAGCTGACCCACACTCCCCATCCCTCCTGCAGCCTTCCTTCCCAATGAAGGGAAGTCCTACGAACACGTCCGTCCAAACATATCAACAGTCTGACTGCTTGAAACCATGTCCGTCGGCATTAACAAACTCTCTGCGTGAGCCGTCTAGTGACTCTAAGGGACCTTTCTGTTTTCACATCTGCCCGCAGCAGTCAGTGATTCTCTGGGAACTCAAATGCATCCATCTTTTTATTAGACGCTCTCTTGCCCACAGTCCGCCAAGGGCTTCTTATCTCGCAAGCTCACTGGTTTCCCTTCCTGGCTGCTGTGGGACTCTCTTAAACGGCCTTTGTGTGTGATAACCACACTTTTATATTCCACAAGCAGATCAGGTGCGAGCGTGGCCCAGGACCTGTGAACTCTGAACTTTATTTCTGCTCCTTGATCCCTCCAATGTCTCTGCGCCTTATTTTCTTGCTTCCTTTAGGTTTCACTTAATTAGCTCCCTCTGCTCAGCTCATATTAACCTTCACCTGCCCTGACGACCCAACCCCTCTCCACCCTGGTTAGATTTTCTCCTGCACACTAGTCCCACCTAGCAAACCATATCTTTTCCAGCATGTCTCTCAGCTGTGCCTTTACTAGCCCCTCCACCCCAGCCCCACGCCTAGCCAAGTTGTGCGAGGTCAGGGATCAGGACCTGATTTCCGCCCTGTGATATATCTAGTATTTGAACACCGAGGGCAGGGTAGCCCTATTCTGTAGGTGACTCATGACATAGTCTCTCCTTCCTGGACTGCCCCATCACTGAGGCTCCCACCAGAAGCAAACCCGTGTGAGTCATTATCACTGGGTCTCTGTTTCAAAGGTAAGCAAATCATTGTTTACCTCAGTAAACCATAAAACATGCCCAAGGGAGAAAAGGGCACATTCTTGATACTCAAAGACAAGAGAGCCTTTTGAGGAAATGAAAAGGGGGGAAAAAACCTCCATATTTCTTGTAGGTGGGTACTCGCACACTGTGGATTTTAAAGCCCCTTGGGACTCATGGGTTAAGTGTGAAAAGCCAAAATGATGACTAACATAGGGGTGTGGTTAGTTTTGGTTGCCCTGAGAATAAAAATAAAGATTGTTTACATCTGATCTGCTTGTGATGTTCTAGAGTCTCAGACAACCCAATCACCTTGCTTCTTCCCACCCAGTTCTGCCCGCTTGTCAGAGCCTCTCATGTCCGTAATCTGAGCATATAGACCATTAGGTGACCTGAAATTACAAACACAGTTTGCAGAGACGAGAGGTTGCATCATTCTTTTTTCTTTCCTGTAATATTTGTTTCCCGTGACCGAAAAGAGTAAGTTTATTAACATGAGGGGCTGGTTTGGCCTGCTGTGTGCCAAGTGGTTGATTTTGTCAGTTTGGTAAAAAGGTAAAATGTTCATACAACCTGAGGAGAAACCAGAGCACATATTTAAGTTTAAGTGGCTGTCAGAAGAACACCTTACTTAGACTGGGTGGCTGAAACAGACTACGTTCCTTTCAGTTTTAGAAGTTGAAAGCCCAAGTTGAACTTGTTGGCCATTACAGTCTCCTTGCGGTGTATGGTAATTGTCTTTGTTCTCTGTGCCCTTCTGGCAAGGAGAGGGGAAAGCCAGTTCTCTCTTCCTTTGTACGAGTTAGGTCACAGAACTCATGAGGAGGTTCCCACCCTAAGACTTCTTCTAAACCTACCCCATCTCCAAACAGCCTCTGGAGCTTTGAAGGCTTCATACTAAGCCTGTAACAGCTATTTGGAATAGCAACGACGAGGCTGGAGAGATGGCTCAATATGGAGAGTCCTTGGTGCGCTCCATAAGTGTGAGGACCTGAGTTCAGATTCTTGGGTTTAACATCATTCAGTACGTGTCTGTACACCCAGCACTTCTAAGTCAGGATGGTAGCAGAGACAGGAGAATTTCTACAAGCTTGGAGACCAGCTAGCCTGGGGTACACAGACATGAACAAAAAACTCTATCAAACAACGTAGATGGTAAAGCCCAACGTCCTAGACTTGCCCTCTGACCTGCATACATTACCAGGATGCACAGGCACATGCATGTGAATGTGCACACTCACACAAGGCAGTGGTGACCTTGACCCCTAGGCTGCTGATGTCCAGCTCTTTCCTCTGGATTGAAAGAAAGAGGAAGACTTTAAAGATTCAGAAAGTTATGAAATTTAGGAGCCTTCTCCTGTGGCCATATAAACAATACAAGTTTACTGAGAGTGGGAGACCCTTCTCTGGAACTGCCCGCCTTCGTGAGCCATTACCGATGTTGGGTGGGACTAATTTTTTTTGTGTGGTTATACAGCTGCTTTTGAGACACCCTTAATCCTGTAAGTAACCCCTCACCCATGCTCTGGTATTTATCCTAATAAACTCATTGATTCATGGGGCATTTCAGGGATTAGTCCATCTTGGTGAAGGTGATAATCTTTGGATGTGTCAGCACTCTGTTTGCAGGCATTTTACTGAGTAGTTAGGAGTTTAAATTCATCGGGAATCTTTCCTTCCTGTTGTTTCTTTTCCTGGCTTTGGTATTAGAGTGATATAGGAGAAGGATTTTCAGAGTACTGCTTCTGTCAACAACATGACTGCCCAATCATGAGCTGAACAAGAATGACGGCAGGGGACATGCTGAGTTAGGGGGGAAAGTTCATGACGTCTCAACCCTACAGAGAGATCTACATCTACAAGCAGCAAAGCAATGCAGAGAGCAGGAGACATGGTCTTCCCCAGGGAGGAGCACACAGTTGATACAACATCAAATGGTCAGTCCTGAAAACACATACATAAAACGACATCCTACAGGCTGAGCAGGGTCTGTTTATGTATTTAGGAAATATTTGTGTGTATGTATGTATATATGTATGTATGAAAATGAGAAAAAGAGGTCACAAATTTAAGAGAAAGGAGGGGTAGACGGAACGGTTTAAAGGGAGAAAAGGGAAGAGAGAGATGATGTAGTTATAATCTGAAAAAATAATTTGAATCAACAACATTGACCATTTCGAAAGATTTTTTCCTTTGCCGCTGGCAGTGTGGGGAAAGCTGTGTGACCTCTGCAGAGCTTCAGTTCACTGCAGGTGAGGTCGCTCTCACCTGTACAGGGCCTGCTCTTAGCAGGGCGTCTCCTTTACCTGTACAAGGGCTTGTTCTTACAAGGATGTCTCTCTTACCTGTACAGGAGCCTGCTCATAACAAGGATGTTTCACCAACACAAAACAACCCAGTTTTATAAGAAGAATATTTAAAATTCTATTGTTCCATGAGTATTTTTTTCTTTTTTTAAGCATAAAAAAATGATTGCTAAAAGGATAATATTTCTCTTATGAAAATGAAGTCCACACCATTTTTCTCAGAGCCAGGATATGTGTGGACTTTAGAATTTATGTATTACACCCACATTTTAGGCATGTTTCTCTTTTCATCTCTCTATGTATAGTTTTTTGTTTGTTTTGTTTTGTTTTGTTTTGTTTTGTTTTTCAAGACAAGTTTTCTCTGGATCTTTGGAGCCTGTCCTGGAACTAGCTCTTGTAGACCAGGTTGGCCATGAACTCATGGAGATTCGCCTGCCTCTCTGCCTCGCAAGTGTTGGGATTAAAGGCGTGTGCCACCACTGCCTGGCCCTCCATGTATAGTTTTTGTGTGTGGTCGTTTTAGTCTCTATTTATAGTACACAAGATAGTAAAAGGTAGTTGTTTCCTCACATACTCAAGAGGTAAGGCTCAGAAATTTTACCCACTCAAGTATTGAGAGCGGACAAGCTGAAAACTTGTAAGTAAATGGCTTTACATAACAAAATTAATAACAAGGTGACAACCGATAGCTGGGCTGGACAAGGAGTGTCCACTGCTTCTTTACTCAACGGTAGTGGTTCTGCTTTCTTTCTATGACTAATCTTCTTGAATCTGTCTGTCTGTTTGTCTATCATCTATCTATCTATCTGTCTGTCTGTCTATCTATCTATCTATCTATCTATCTATCATCATTCTATCTTGCTTTTTAAAGTACCCAAGGATTGCTTGATTCATCTGTTTTATTGTGGACACCACAAGTCACTCACAGAAAGTTGAACTTAATGAAACAATTCAATTTTTTAATTGGGTATGCTTCGCACATGGACATTTTGATTGACATATACAAGTCAGATAACAAAGCTCAATTTTAAAACTTAAAGAGATCAATCTGCTCAAAAACCTTTTAAGCCGATAGTTTGTCTCTTCCAGAGGACCACAACTCTTGGCAGTGACAGCCATCTAGTCATTTCCAGAGACCTTCTCTTTGGAAAAAAATCTAAGGTACCATTTAATACCCATTTCAAAGCTCCATCTTAAGAACACTAGATGTCACAGTGGAAAATCTGTCAAAATCAAGGCAGTGACAGCTCATGCTACAGGCTCAGAGTACAGAAAAATATTTCTACCCTTAGTTTCCTCATTATCAAAACAGAGATCACAGTGCTTTCCTTACAGTACTTTTTCAAAACAAAATTAGATTTAAAACTATGTAGGTGTAGAGTATAAATTCTAAAGTCTATGCAATTTATCCTCATCATTCATGTGCAGGAATGGTTCAGTGATTACTCAATGAAGATTCATCAAATATTACATAACGGAGTAAACATTTTTACTAAGCATATACTGAGGTAACAATGTGTCAGGGATCTGGGGACAGCACCATAAATAGAGCATTGCACCATGGAGCAGGGAAGGGAGGGAGGGGACACCAGAAGGAGCCACTCCATTTCAGATCCAGCGTCTAGAAAACACACCCAAGTCATTCTTCTGGGAAGTATTCCATGTTCTTCACAGCCCTAGACCCAGGGCCAGCTCAACCGCGTCCCAGTCCCTTCAGATGGTCTTTCTCACCCTCAGCACCACTGATATTTAGTCTGCACAGTGTGGTATTGTGAGCAGGAGCTACTTCATGCATCACAGAATGCTTGAGGGCATCCCTGGTTCATCCTTACTCAATGCCAGCAGTGCCAATGTCCCCAGCTATGACACTAACAAAAGACTCCAAGTGAGAACTATGACCTTCAGATCATGAGAAACCCATACAGGTGCTTCCAGAAAGAATGGAATTCTTTTAGCTAGGTCCCAAACTCTGAATGACTGACCAAGCCTCCTGGAGCCCTTTGGGTGTGCTGGCATATTCCTTCAGAGTTTCACCCAGAAGAGACGTTGATTGTTTCTAACACCCCCATATGTGATGCACCAATAACATTATATCTTTTTGGACACTGTTATGACAGGTTGTATGACCTTGGGCAAGGCACTCCGACACTTCAAGCCTCAGTTCTTAAATAGAGATGATAAATTATGTTTTGCAAGATCATTGGAAAAATTAAATGAGATAAATATAAAACATACAGCCACAGGGGTCTTGACACTCATTTCTTTGGTGCAATTAATATACTAGGAATCATGCTGGTCATATGACTCAAGTGGATAGCAGTGCTTACCACAAAAGCCTCACAGTGTCAATTTAATCCCCCAAACACAATTAATGGTAGAAAGAGAGAACTGAGAGCTGTACTCAGACCTTCCACAGGTGACACATGTACTCCCCACTCCCCCCCCCCCTCTCTCTCTCTCTCACACACACACACACACACACACACATACACAAACACATACACACACTTTTTAAAAAATGAAATCTTAACAGAAGTCTCTCCCAAGTCTGTCCACCAGAATGGAGTGGCGTAGTTTTGTGATACATAGCTTTTGTGATTGCGTGGAACTAACTGTATCAGAAACGGACACACTGGCTCCATAACTCAGGCCTGGCAAGCAACCACATTGCTTAACAGATCAGAGATATTAAACTTCCCAGAAACATTAAAAATCGGTTAATTGATGTTGTAAGACTCAGCTCCGTAGGTCCACTGGTCCTGCTGCCGCAGGCATACTGAGGTTTGATTGAGTCAGAGGAAAATGTTTTCTGTATTCTGTGTCCTTTAGTTTCTTGTAGACATAAATGGCAAGATCTGGAAATGTCTGCTGAAAATAACGAGAAGGGTCTCCGATTCTTTCCTTCATACTGAAATAAAACACAAATAGTTAGGCAACTGGCCCTAAGCTCTTTCTCCTTCTTAGAGTATGCCCTGATGCTGTCCTTGTTTCTATGAAGGGAACAATAAAACTTTGTAATCTGGTGAAATAAGATGCTTCCTGACTCTTTAATAACTATGCAATTTAAATTTCAGGAACTTGCTTGTTCATTCACAAAAATGGTAGTAATAGCCTGGTGATGGTGGCACACCTGTTTAACCCCAACAATCAGGATGCAGAGGCAGGTGGGTCTCTGTGAGTTTGTGGGCAGCCTGGTCTACAAGAGCTACTTCTAGGACAGTCAGGGCTGTTACACAGAAAAACCAAAAAACATACAAAAATGGAAAGGGGAGGCAGATCTCACAAGACCCTACCCAGAGATAAATAGCTGTTACAGGCACTTAATGGTGGTGAGAGCGAGCATCAGCCTTCTCCAGGAGCAAGACCCCTCTGAGAGGTTCCAACCCAAGTAAGAAGCACTAAACAAAGACACAAATGAGCAACACTACGTGGACTCAGAAGGTTGTGCTTATCTATACATATGTATGTGTGCAGCAGCAGTTAGAGATGAGGTCATGAATTGGAGAGGACACTGGGGGGGGGGGGCACAGGAAGAGCTGGATGAGGAGGGAAGGGTGGAAATGATGTCAATACAGTACTTATGTATGAAATTCAAAAAACAGTAATAATTAAACAAAATGGTAATACAACTCCACAATTCTTTATAATCAACCTCTAAATAATAAAAAAGAAAACATTCTGAACTGTACTGTGTGTGTCTGTGTGTGCAGCTGACACTTCTGATAACTAATGTGGAGATGTGCTCAAGGTTTGGACTCTACAGTTGCTTTATACGGTGGCCCTGTCTTCTGTTGTAGTCACCCAGAAAGATACTTCTGTTCAGTAGAACTCAACAAAGCTAAAAAGGAGGATGAGACCCTGCTGGGCATGTCTGTAACTGATTGTAAAGCCCCAGGGACTCAGAGAGATTCCTTTTTAAAACAGAAAATAATTGCTTTTGCTTTTTCTCCTTTGCCTCATTCTTTTTATCCAACTCCTTCTTCTCTGTCAGGGCCTTACTATGCATTTCTGGCTGGCCTGGAACTTTCTGTGTAGGCCTGGCTGACCTCATGGAGATCCATCTACCTCTGCCTCCTGAGTTGTGCTATTAAAGACATGTGCCACAGCCCCGCCCTCACTTGCTTTTCTTTATCAAAGTAAGATTTCTTCTTTCCATAGGGACAGACTTACAACTGTGTTTTCTAATTGTTCTCCTGCATGGACGATGCACAAGAATGCAGGTAGCACTTACTCCTTGTTTTTATCCTCATTGATGTGCTCTCCCATATTCCGAATGAACTTCAGTAGATCGCCTACAGTATTCTGATAAGGATTTCTCATAGCTTTATAGAAATCATTCATTTTTTTCATAACATATTTGTCAATCTAAAAAACAAAACATTACACCCAATTTATGATGACAAGATAAAACAAATCTTTATGATGTGTTAATATCAGAAGGCCAAATACAAATTTGAATAAATGCCCTCTACCAATGAATGAAGCAAATAGAACAAAGGAAAGTACATGACACCACCCCCACTGTGCCATGCGGGGCAGTTATGTTGTGTTTGAATGAGGCACTATAAGTGACTGATTTCATTTTTGTCTGTACTGGCTAGTTCCCAACAAATTATGCCTATTAAAACTGTGTGTGGAAGTGTTGACTAGTCTAGCCACTACGGAAGTCAGTACTGAGGGTCCTCACAAAACTAAAACTACATCCTACCAAAAGAGCAGCTAAACCCTGCTGGGGATTCATCCAAAGGACTCTCAGTCAACATATCACAGAGATATCACAGAACTGCTCACAGTAGCCAAGATGTGGAGCCAACTTAGGGGTCCCTCAATTGCAGAATGCTACAGAAAATGTGGTTTATCTACACAATGGAATTTTTTGAACCATAAAATGAAAAAAGTTCTGTCATTTGCATGAAAGCTGGTGGAAATGGAGATGTCTAAGTAGGCAAATTAAGTCACTCTCAGATAAATAAAATGGAATTTTGCTTAGCTACATAAATCCATGTATGTAAATTTGACAGGAAAATAGAAACAAATCTGTAGAGCATCAGGGACTAAAGAAAGAGAAGGGTTATGAGCAGGTTACAAGGGCATGAGGGGATATGGTCAAGGTATATCATATACTTATATAAAAATGTCTCTACTTTCAAGATGGTCCATCTCTAAAAATTTAAAGTTTGAGCTGAAGTCTCATATGCATACATTGAACAAAGAGTCATGACACACTCCATACTAAGAACCAACACACAGTGGCTGTCTGCCACATGGGACTTACAGACTGGCAAGGAAAATTTATATTAAATTAGCAATTATGAGTGGAGACAAGGCAAGGAAAGAAAACAAAATGAGAAGCAGAAACAAAGACAGAGAGAAGAGCAGAGGGATGACATAGAGAAGCTGCTGGTCTCAAAGACCTGAAGATCATGGATTCTCCCAGGGTGCATTGTACATGAGCTGCACCACACAGCGTCATCTCTGCAGATATCCGCACCTCACGGGAACATGCTTTATTCTGCTTTATGGTGTCCAGACTGTGATGTTGGCCTAAAACATAGTTGGATTTGAGAAATACTTGTAAATTTACAAGCATGAGAGTTTGTGATACAGATTGAGATGCTGATTAATTTTATAGAGTTACCCTAAATTCGATTTTAGCAGAATTTGTCTTGAAGAGGAAGGATTTGAAAGGTTATCTTTTTTCATAATGTGTCTTCTCAACACAATGTGGGTCCTTGGAACAGGGCTGCTCACAGACAGCAGAGGTGTCCAGTGTGTCTAAGCTATGGCTTCATGGTGGAGAACCGCCTTGGCTTGGGCTCTATTTAGTCAATCATTCTTATCATAATAAAACTTTTGGCTAGACCTGAGGGGAGCTAATGGACTGGATTAAGGCCATCCTAAGGCATAACTTAATGACAGTGTCTTAGGGGTCCTGACTCTGAAGGAAGGAGAAGAGACTCAAAAGAGTCAAGAGGGCTCATTTGGAAAGAAGAAAATGATCCCACTCGCTTCCTGGTAACAACAGACTGGTGTAGAAAATAACTTAGAAAAGGCAGTCGAAACTGTTAGACATACCCTCATTCCTCAACCACAGAAAGTGTTCATACCTTAGATGTCCACTGATAGAAAGTTCTGGAAGGCTCAGGTGTTCTAGAGTTCAGTCTTTTGAGAATCTTACTTTCATTATTTCGTGTTTTGATGTCAGATTCATTCCCCAGATCCCGAAGTGCTCTGTAACGGCTGAGAGTGATAGAAACAGCATGCTCATCACATTTTCCCAAAAAGGGAAATTGATTTGCTTTGATTTTTTTGTTTTTTTTTTAATTTATTTATTTATTAAAGATTTCTGTCTCTTCCCCGCCGCCGCCTCCCATTTCCCTCCCCCTCCCCCAATCAAGTACCCCTCCCTCATCAGCCCAAAGAGCGATCTGGGTTCCCTGCCCTGTGGGACGTTTGCTTTGATTTTTAATTGAATTTCTATGATGGGAGAGGCCACCCCATTGATTCCCACCTGTTTTTCAGTTGTTACAACCAGAATTCAGTAAGTTGTCCCTCCCAAGGACACACTGCCTACAATGCCAGGTGAGAGGAAAGCCTGGGCCTGCTGATGCCCAGCCCAGACAGCTGCTCATACCACAATGGTTCTCAACCTGTGGCTCATGATCCATTTGGAGGACAAAAGACCCTGTCACAGGGGCCACAGATCAGACATCCTACATAGCAGATATTTACATTACAATCAGAACAGTAGAAAATTACAGTCATAAAGTAGTGACAAAAATAACTGTATGGTTGGGGTCACCACCGCTGTGAACTATGCTCATTGCTAATAATAAAGCTGATTGGTCGATAGCTGTGCAGAAAGAGATTGGGAAGGCAGCCTGACATGGAGAATTCTGGGAAGAGGAAAGGAGGAGTCAGAGAGTTGTTGGCAAACAAAGAGAAGCAAGATGAGAATATCGTGCTGAGGAAGACACCAAGCCATGTGGCTAAAGATAGGTAAGAATTAGGGATAAGTGTAAGAGCTAGCTAGTAACAAGCCAGATCTGAAAACTAAGCGTTTAGAAGTAATATAAGCTTCAGAGTGGTTATTTGAGAACTGGCAGAAGGGAGAGAATCATCAGCCTTCACAACGCACCATGAGGAACTGTATTAAAGGGTCGCAGCATCAGGAACCTTGAGAACCACTGCTATCACTCATACCCGAGATCTACTTACCTCTCCCAGGTCCAAAAGAAAGGATGGCCAAGCAGGTCCTTCAGACAGTTCATTACATTTTCTCCAGGGGAAAACAAGCAACAAATGAGGTCCTTAGTCTCCTCGTCTGGAGACTTTTTTGCCACCTTTATATTATTTTCAGCCATCAGAGTCTCAAAGGGGATTTCACCTTTCATTACCACATAGAGGACCAGCCGTCCGAGAGCCTGCACGGAAGCCATAAATCAAGCCAAAATTGCAATGTGGTAACCTATTTGGGTAAGCGTGGAAGATTTGATAGTATTGTTATTGTCAGTTTCATTGGTCAGAGATCTTCCTAGAAGACTAGTAAGAGGAATCTCTAGGTGTGTCTTTGATGGCATTCACAGAGAAGATTATGATCATGAGGGCTCTGGCCTAATGGCCCATGATGCATTCACACTGCCAGTAGACTTATATGGAAGTAGTGGGGCATTGGAAGGGGGGACCTATTTGGAAGAAGTGGTACAGTGGGGAATTGTCCTGGTGTCTATAACTTGACCTGGTCTTTTCCAGTTGTGGTTGAGCTTCACTTCTTGTCCAGGATGAGCTGGTCTATCAATCCCTCACATCTAGCCTGAACTGAAACCTCTGAAGCTGTCATCTCAAACAAACCCTTCTTCCTTCAGGATCTCACAGTGATGTGTAAGTAGTCCAGACATTGTGGAAATGGAGGATGGGAGGGATTTTAAGGAACCTCTGGGCTATATTCCTGTGGTCCCGTGATGTCATGTTAGCAACTAGACTCCAAATCTGTAGGGTTCTAGGTGAGAAAGGCAAAGCCCTGTGTACAAAGAGCTCTCAAGGCCACACATGGCCTACAGTTTAGGTTCCTGAAAGACTATCCTAGTCCAGAGCCGATGTGATAAACTTGTTGGCAGCAGGATTCTTCCTAGGTCTTGGGTGTTCTGACAGAATGTGGATAAGTCAAGGAAGGGAGGATGCACAAGGACACTTGCTCAGCTATGTTCATAAGAGCATTATTCATAATAGCCAGAACCTGGAGACAACCTAGATGCCCCTCAACCGAAGAATGGATGAAGAAAATGTGGTACATTTACACAATGGACTATTACTCAGAGGTAAAAAAAAAATAATGACATCATGAAATTTGTGGGCAAATGGATGAAATCATCGTGAGTGAAGCAACCCAGACCCAACGACAAACATGACAATGACCCATGACAGTGTGCATGCGCTCATAAGTGGACAGTAGATGTAAAGCAAAAGATACCCCAGCTACCATCCACAGTCCTAGAGAAACTAGGGAACAAGGAGGACCCTAAGAGGGATGCAAGGATCGCCCTGGGAAGAGGAAATACTTGAGATCTCCTGGGTAAACTGGGTTGGGGGGGATAGTGGGGAGGATGGGAACATGAGGGATTATCATGGTCAAGTTGGGGAAGGGATGGAGAGAAAAGACACCAGGGAGGTACCTTCCTTCATAGAGGGGGCGAGATTGGCATTGGAGAGAGGCCTGGTGCAGGGAAGGCTCCTGCGGGTCCACGGAGATGACCCCAGCTAGAGTTCCTGGCAGTGGTGGAGAGGGTGTCTGAACTGGCCTTCCCCTGGTCAGATTGATGACTACCCTGTCATCATAAAACCTTTGTCTAATGACTGATGAAGCAGATTCATATGTCTACAGTCAGGCAAGGAGGGGGCTGAGCTCTAGGAGTCCAGTAGAAGAGAGGGAGAGGGCATTATGTAAGCTGGGGGTCAGGATCATTTGGGGAGGTCAGGATCATTATGGGGAGTTCATGGTCTTTAGAATGATAGCTAAGGAGCCTACATGGGACTGACCTTGACCCTCTGTATATGTGTGTGACAGTTGTGTAGCTTGTTCTGTTTGTGGGGCCCCTAGCAATGGGATCAGGATCTGTCCCTGGTACATGAGCTTGCTTTTCTGGAACCTATTCTCTATGATGGACCTGTTTAGTCTTAAGGCGTCTGCTGAGCTCTGTCTCTTTGGAGCTGAAGGCTGACTCCAACACTCCAGAACTGTCTGGAACGTCCATATCTGACTTTGTTTGGTTCTCAGCAGGTAAGTTTGAATAGAGTTGGGAGGAAATCTCATTTGCTTTACCCTTAGGCAGAAAAACCTGTGAGGTTTTCAGAAGGAACCTGTGAGGTATTCAGAAATGCCTCCTGGAAGTCTCTGAAGTAGAGGCACCCTCGCATTAGTTACTTATTCAGCTGGTGAGGAAGAAGGAAACACAGATAAAGAAAGGGACCACAGTGAGAGGCAGCTCAGCGCCAATTCAGCTATTTCACCATCTCCTCAGCCTGATGAAAGTTCTCCTGAGGAAAAACACAGAAATGGGCAAGGGAGTGAGGACAGTGGACATTGTGGAGGGAAGCAGTGGGAAAGTTTTCCTTCTGGATTAAAATAGGAAGTTCCTTACCTGGCCCTAGGAAGTGGGGTGATGAACAAATAAGGAAGCAGAGAAAAGAAAAAGTTAACTAGGCCAGAAAAATTACCTCTAAGTCTTTCTTGACCGCCTGTGGATCTCCCATGCACTGGACGCTCTGATCAAAATCTGCCAGGCGAATTGCTTCCTTGTCATCTAAGGGACAGTTTCAGAGGTGAATAAAAAAAATATTCTCTGTGGTATGATAAATCAGTCAAATAAATATGTAACATGATATTCAGTTTGTCATCTCTGAAAATCAATAATAATACTATTTATTCATGTCCAGCCTCATTTGTTCTATTAGTCAAGAGCAGGACACATATTTTTATTTTTACAGGACAGACAGTAGTGAAAGATGAGGGTGAAGTTAACCAGCTAACCAACAGCTAACAATGAATGTTCTGAGTCTAGGAACATCTTGGCATCGCTTTCCATTCAGTAAAGCCCACCAGATCCAAGCTGCACTGGTCTTTAGACCACCCTCAGAGGTCCGAAATGAGATGGTTCCTCTTGGGGGTTCTTCTTCCTTTTAGAAGGCTCCACAGAGTCCCCCGAAAGAGGAATGAGAGAATGGTAGAAGGTGGGAATGAGATCTAAAGGTGAGTAAGTCGGGGACTAGCCCTCAAGAGGTGAGTCATGTTGTCTCCATGACGATCAGAAATAAATCTCCATTCTTTACCAATCCCTTAATCTGCCATGTTCTGTTGCAGCCACACATGAAAGATTACCACAAAGAACTCACCTATTAAGATGTTTGGGGGCTTTAGATCCTGATGAGCGAATCCCTGCAAGTGTAGTCTTTGAACAGCCACAAAAACAGACAATAGGACATTGCGGGAAAACTTATCTTCTCTGTTCTCCACCGGTTCCGCTCTGTGTCCACCCAGGAACTCTTCCAATGTCCACTCACACAGGGACAGACACACATATAAACAGGCCTTGCTGATCTCGCGTCCATAGAAAGTCACAAAGTTACTGTGGCCACGGCAGCCCTGCAGACAGGAGATTTCATTGCGTGCACGTGAGCTGTCCTCACGAAAGACCTTCACAGCCGCCTCTCGATTGTCATAGAACCCCAGGTAGATGCCTCCTTCAGAAGTGCTAGCAATTTTAAATTCATCATCTAGAAAGATCTTGAGTTTGCCAATCATGGGTCGATCCACTCTGTGGAGTTTTTTCAAGGCTTTTCCCCAGTGTGAACTGTGAGGCAAAAAGTCACCAGCAGGAGGGACACTTTTATCATTAGCTTCATAAAGGCAAAGAATCTCCATAATGGAAGTGTCATAATTCCGCCTGGCTATCCCAACAAGATCCCCACACTTAGTACTAGCTCCCTTAGCGCATAACAACTGGACTATTCTCTTCTGTTTGAGTTCAACAGCAAATTGCAGGGCCGTCTTGCCCTCATTATCTCTGTCATCAATGTTTATGCCCTCCTGACTCAGGAGCATCTCCACCAAGCCTTTGTGTTTCCTTTCCACTGCCGCCATCAGGGGTGTCTTCCCCCCTTCCCCTCTCACATTGGCATCAGCCCCATGGAGCAGCAGAAGGCGAGTAATCTCCTCCACATTTTCACAATCCTCTTCCTGCAGAGTACGGATCAAGGCATTTCTGCCCATGTTGTCCCGGGCATCGACCTCTGCCCCCATGTCATTGAGGAGAACACTCAAAGCTTCTGTGTGGCCATTTTCAGCAGCACTCATGAGAGCTGTGGCCCCTCCTTTCTTCAGTCGCTTTTTGTCCTCTGTTGTCTCCCGTCTCAAATTCACATCGGCTCCCTTATCAAAAAGGAATCTTAAGGCTTCTACTTTACCATACTCGGCAGCTTCCATGAAAGCCGTGAAGCCATTGATGTCACACTCATTGACATCTGCTCCTTCAGAGAGGAATCTCTGGAGCAGTCTCACGTCTCCTTTGGTCCCAGCAATGATGAAGGGAGTGGCCCCATTCTTCTTCCTCTTACGAGGGTCAGCACCACGACGAAGCAGGACATCTACAATGTCTTCCCTGCCCAACTTCACTGCATTGTGCAAAGGTGTCCAACCCCCAATGTCTTCACAGACATTGACGTCAGCCCCTCTGTCCAGCAATTGCTGGATCCTGTCAACATTTTTCTCTTCAACAGCTTTAATTAGCAAAAGACTGACTTCATCAGTGGTCCTCTGACTGCTTGAGGATGTGGCTCCATCCTGGGGAGTGTCGTGATCTTCGGTCTCCATGGTAGTCAATTCTAATGCCTAGTGTTTTCAGCCTTTTCCTTGAAAATGAACACTGTGTTTTGCGGGGGGACGCTATGAGAATCTTGGCGTAGGAATTGGGCTTATTGTTCCGTCTTCTGAGGTCTCCTCTGTAGACAAGAGAAGAGGTGACTTTGACTCAGAACTCAGCTATACCCGTAAGGAGCCTTTACTAAACACATTTACTTGCTTAATTAGAAATTTTGAAGTTGTAGACTATTGTGAATATATGTAAATTTAAGATGAGGAGATTATTACTCCATAGTCCCAGGCCCCCAAAGCAACTGCTACCAATATTTAGTGTATAGTGTTAAGTTTCAAACCTGGGACAAATAGCTGAGGTGCCTACTTAACTTATCAAAGAGGACCTGGCAGCCAGGTTCTCCCAGCATCACTCAGTCACTACCTGTCACAGCGTGTGGCTGGCAGACCCTGCTCTCTACCTTGAACTCTAGCCTGGGGACTGGACTGTTTTTCCCGCAGAAGCTCTTTCTTACAGAAGCCAGACACTTGGTTTAAGGGCTCATTTTGTACCTTAAGCCTCCTGGCTGCTGCCCTGGTCCCCCTCTCTCCTCTCTTTTTTCCCCTCAACCTCTCCCCACATGATCCAGCTCAGTCTGGTCATGCTCACTGTGGACTTTCCCATATGTTCCTGCCTTTACCTACACGCTCCCTTTTATTAACAATAAACTTTCTCCTCTACTGTGCCTAGGAGCAGTCATGGCCTTTCCTTTCTTTTGATTTCTTTTTTTCATGCATACAGATTAATTTTCAGGCTGGAGTAAAGCTATGCTAAGTGACTCAGAACTTACATGCTTATTTTCATTTTCTAATCTTAAATATCTTAATATTTAAAATGATATTATTAAAAATTAAATTTTAATACAATTCTGAATGAAGTGGTGAAAAATTTAGCTCATTTCATCTTGTTTTCCTCATGCAGATTTCTTATGATAGACGTCCTAACTCCTCATGACTCCTCTGAAAACTGCCTGCTTTCTTCAGTATTCTATAAACGTTCTTACCTAGCAATTGGCGGCTCCTGGGGCTGGGGGAGCGCAAGCAAGCTCCCTTAAGAAGAAACGTGTATTTCTTTGTCTCTGTCCATCTGAGTTTCTTCCTCCCAGGTGAGGCTGGTCACCTTACACGCGCTACTGTGTTCTCCACGCCCGTCCTCTTTACAACCCTGTGCGGTTTTATTGAGTTAGTCATGGAAAAAAGTGAATCATGGGCTCACTTTGGGTTTCCAGGTGTGCAACTTTTGACTTTCACTTCCGATTGCACACTCCTAAACCGCTGACTTGCAATAGTGTTTCCTCAATAGCAGACAACAATAAACAGGGACATAGGTTACAGTGAGTTAGGGAAGTGTAGCAGGTACTGGGCACTGAATGAATGGGAGAGTATATATTATGCCTCTTTGTGAATTTGTGTGTGTGTGTGTGTGTGTGTGTGTGTGTGTGTGTGTCAAATCCTCTCTCCTGACCAGCATCATTTAGGTCAGTGGCTTCATCAGGCTCTAGTGTTGGATCCAGTGCACTCCTACAGTTCAGTCCTCGGTCAGCCCTTCTTAACCTGAACATCTAAACTGCTGTGCCTGCTACAAACCGCACAACACCTCCCTCTGAGATCAACACATGCCTTGTACTCTGACTACCAATTCCCGAAGTCACTGATCAAAGCTCTTAAGCCCCCAGTCCTGACTAAACTGGCTGTAAGGTGGGCTGATGTGAAGTAAGGAGCAGAGGAGGAAACCCAGCCTGGAATGGAGCCCTCAGCACACAAAGCCTGCTTTCACTTTCATTTTCTTCCCACCCCCTCCTCCCCACCCCCACCCGCCACCCCATCCTTCCAGAGCTGCCCCAGAAGCAGGGACCATAAATAAACAGTGTGTGGACACTGACAGCCTCAGGAGGGAGGGCTCAGGATCACAGGGCTGCTGCACAAATCCTCCAGGCTTTCCATCCCCACCCCCAACAGACCCTGAGAGAATAGGCAAACCAGGACTCCTCAGGCCCTGCTGGCTCTGCTCCTGCCCACCTTACCTTCCAAAGTCAGACTCCCCAGCAATCCGTTCTTTTGGCAGCAGCGATCTTTTAAGAACATCCCCTAGATGAACATTTCCTTGTGGCATGTCACTGAGTCAGCAGGGCGGAGCCAAGAGAGGAGTGAGAAAACGGAAGAACAGAAGTTGTACACACAGGGTCAGCCCAGACATAACCCCAGCAATCTTTCTCCCCATTAAAGAAAACAAAGACTCTACCTTGAGCATGCAGAACAGACTTGAAAGGCATCAGGGCGCTCGACTTTGAGGTCATAGGACCCAACTTCACCAATCACTCTTGTATCTTCCCTGTTACCACAAATCCTGTGTTCTTGGAGGGAAACAAGAAAATAAACACATAACCAACCCACTATGCAGCCAGCAGGAGCAGGGCAGGAAGAGCATCTGTTGCCAGTGATGACTGGAAGCACTTGAGATGCAGCGGCTTATCCACAATCCTAACATCCCTGGCCATCCTTGGTTAACACAGATTTGAGCTGAGTTTACTTTAGGAGACAGGCATATGACCTCTGGGTAATGCATTTTCCGGCTATGGAAACAGGCAGCATCAAAGGGGAGAGCACTGGGCTTCAGTAAACACCATCTGAAAGTAAGAAGGAAGACAATAGATTAAGGACAAACACTAGTTTAACTGAAAAATTCTGTTAATGGAGATTGTAAAGCAAGGCAATCTGTAACTGGGTTTTACCTTGAGATTGTAAAAATTCCCTTATTCAGACCTAATGCTTGGAGCCCCCATTATAAAAAGGTGGGTTCAGAAACCGGCCTTTGCCTCAGCCTTACAAAATCCATCTCTGGCTGTGGTCTCAGCTAGCTGGTAAGCTTGTTGTGCCCCATGGAGATTTTTGATTTAATTTTTTTTCCTGGGATCTGGTTTCTGAAATAAAGTTTTCTTCTTGTTTATTAGACTTTGGTGGTCTGTTCCCATCTTTGTGTGACCTACCCTGAACCCAACAGGAACAATTTCTGGTCGAATTAAGAAACAGCTTAGAGGCCAGTGAACCTGGAGTAGGAGGAAGTGGAGTTTCACGTCAGGTAGGGTCTTACAGTGTTTGATTGGGGGCTTCACCCCAGCCCTTGGCATCCATTTTAAAATGTTCCATTTCAAAGCTCCCTCCCCTGGGAGTTGCCTCAGTCCAAACTCCATCTCTGAGAAATCCAGCTAAATGGTGACCTCTCCCCATGGAGGGTCAAGACCCCTGCCACGGGCTATTTAAACTGCCCCCCAGAGAATGAACACATGGTCTCCCCTTCTCCCTCTCTGGTGGTCATTCCAGTTCTCCTTTCCTCCTCTGTGTGTTTTTCCTGGGGGTGGGGAGGGCATCCCGGGAGTGCTGACACCCATTAAACCTGGACATCTTCTAATTTGGTCTGATCCGGTTTGATTTGGATTATTGCATCAGCGGAGAGGTTTGTCACATCAGAAAATACTTAACGATAAGACTTTGGACTCTATCCAGAGCAAGGAGGCCACCAAAACTGGCCAGTCAAGAGACATTAAACTCTGTTTGGACTCTGGGTTCCTCTGTTCTTGAGTAATAAACCACAACCAAACTTAATTCATAGCTACAGAAAGCTTATGCCTGGACTTCTGGAACCGCTAGCTGGGGCTCAGGCAATGCGTGCAGTCAGACTTCAGTTTCAGGTGGCTGTCTGGCAGACCTAGCCATAAAGAAGCATGTTGTCAGTGTGCCTCGCTTCCATTTCCGTGCATGGGTGACAATCCTGGCTTCCTCTGTTGCTGTGGGAAGACACTGATTCAAATCAGCTTGGAGAGAAAGGGTTTATTTGCCTTATGGATCGAAAGGATTTAAAAAAAAAAAAATGCAGCGGAGTGGGTACCTTACAGAGGACCCGCCAAGGTCTGCTCGTAGGTTAACAGAGGTAGTGCAGGGCGATTGTGGGGAAGGGGGAGAGCGAAAGCGAGGAAGGCCTTCTAGGAGTGGGGACATGAATGAACCAGACAGACAGAGAGACCAGACAAGAGGGACAGAGGGACAAGAGACAGAGCTGTGGCTGACAACATTTTTTGTTTGTGTGTTTCCGTTTTCGTTTTTTCTGGTTTTTTCTGTGTGTGTGTGTGTGTGTGTGTGTGTGTGTGTGTGTGTTTGTCTTTCGAGACAGGGTTTCTCTATATAGCTTTGAAGCCTGTTCTGGACAAATGCTGTAGACAGGCTGGTCTCGAACTCACAAAGATCTGCCTTCCTTTACCTCCTGAGTGCTGGGACTAAAGGAATGCACCACCACCACCTGATAACATTTTTAAGAGGTGTGCCTGTTGCATAGCAGGGAATGGAAAAAAGCAGCAGGTGTTGAGGTAACCTCCTCAGTGGCCTAGGCAGGCTGGTCACAGCAGCGGGAACTAGCAGGGGTTATATTATATAAGCCATCATCAAGGGAAACGAGTCCGTGGGTGGGGTTTAAACTTTGAAGAAGGATAGTTTACCAAGAGAAAAGAGCAGGCCCAGGAGAAAGTGGGAAGCCTGGACTGGAGACACCGAGAGAAAGCACAAGGCCAAGGCAAATGTAAGGACATATCTCCAGGAAATGTAAGGACATATCTCCAGCAAATGTAAGGACATATCTCCAGCAAATGTAAGGACATATCTCCAGGAAATGTAAGGACATATCTCCAGCAAATGTAAGGACATATCTCCAGCAAATGTAAGGACATATCTCCAGGAAATGTAAGGACATATCTCCAGCAAATGTAAGGACATTTCTCCAGCAAATGTAAGAACATATCTCCAGCAAATGTAAGGACATATCTCCAGCAAATGTAAGGACATATCTCCAGCAAATGTAAGGACATACCACCGTGCCCCACAACCCTGGACCTACTTCCCACACTCAAGATGTTAGAACTGTTGTTACCTTCATCCTTCCTTTGACCAAAAAGAATGACTCCAGGGCTTGACCTGGAGCTCACTTCCAGAGACACACTTAGCTTATCCAAGGCCTTCTGGGCTCTCAGGTAGACGACAGAGGGGTAAAGTGAACATGCTAGATACTGACATTTCCCTGTCAGTGATGTGCGAATGTCTGGACTGGCTTGCTGGGCGGCAGCTGCCAACTCCTACAGCTACTTGCTACCTCTTTATATTTAACTGGTTCATTTAGACTTTCTAGGCCTCAGAGTCTATATAGATATATATTTTAAAGTTTAGAATCTTTTTATTGTTTTTATTGAGCTATATATTTGTATCCACTTCCTTCCCTTCGTCTCCCCTCCCCTTCTATCCTCTTCCATGATCCCCACACTCTCAATTTACTCAAGAGATATTCTATTTTTCTACTTCCCATGTAAATTAGATCCATGTATGGTCCTTTTTGATGTCTAGGTTCTATGGGATTGTGAATTATGGGCTGATTTTTCTTCACTTTATGTCTAAAAGCCACTTATGAATGAGTACATATTATGTTTGTCTTTCTGGTTCTTGGTTACCTCACTCAATATGATATTTTCTAGATCCATCCATTTGCTGCAAATTTCAAGATGTCATTATTTTTTTTCTGCTGTGAAGTAGTCCATTGTGTAAATTTACCACATCTTCTTTATCCATTCTTCGGTCAAGAGGCATTTAGGTTGTTTCAAGGTTCTGGTTATCACAAATAATGCCGCTATGAACATCATTGAGCACATGTCTTTTTGGTATGACTGAGCATCCTTTAGGTATATACCCAAAAGTGGAATTGCTGGATCTTGAGATAGATTGTTTATTAATTTTCTAAGAAATCACCATAGTGATTTCCAAAATGGCTGAACCGCTTTTCACTCCCACCAGCAATGGAGGAGTGTTCCCTTTGCCCCACATCCTCTCCATCATAAGCTGTCATAACTATTTTTGATCTTGGCAATAGTTTACAGGTATAAGATGAAATCTCAGAGTTGTTTTGGTTTATATTTCTCTGATGGCTAAGGATGTTGAGTATTTCCTCAAGTGTCTTTCAGGCATTTTATATGCATCTGTTGAGAGTTCACTGTTTAGGTCCACACCCCATTTGGGTTTTTTTTTAATTATTTATTCCTTTGATGACCGATTTCTTCAGTTCTTTGTATATTTTGGAGATCAGCACCTTTCCAATGTGGGGTTGCTGAAGATCTTTTCCCATTCTGTATGCTGCCATTTTGTCTTATTGACGGTGTCCTTTGCTTTACAGAAGCTTCTCGGTTTCAAGAGGTTCCATAGGTGTGTGGATTGATATCCGGGTCTTCAGTTCGGTTCCATTGGTCCTCCTGTCTGTTTCTATGCCAAATCCAGACTTTTTTAGTACTGTATCTCTGTAGTAGAGTTTGAAGTGAGGGATGTATGTCTCCAGATGGTTCTTTATTATTTTGACTATCCTGGGTTTTTTTTTTTTTTTTTTTTTGCTTTTCCATATGCTATTCAATATTGTTCTTTTGAGTTCTGTGAAGAATTTTGCTGGGATTTTGATGAACATTGCATTCAATCTGTAGATTGGTTTTGGTAAGATTGCCACTTTTACTATGTTAATTCCACCTACCCAAGGCATGGGAGATCTTTTCATTTTCTAGTGTCTTATTCAATTTCTTTCTTCAGAGATTTGAAGTTTTTGTCATACAGGTCTTCTACTTGTTTGGTTATAGCTACTCCAAGATATTTTATGCTATTTGTGGCTATTGTGAAGGGTGATGTGTCTCTGTTTTCTTTCTCAGTACATTTATCATCTTATAAAGAAGGGCTACTGAGTTTTTTTTTTAGTTAATCATGTATTCTGCTACATTATTGAAGATATTTATGAGCTGTAGAAGTTCAGTGGTAGAATTTTTTGGGGTCACTTCTGTAAACTATCATATCATCAGCAATAGTGAGAGTTTGACTTCTTCTTTTCTGATTTGTATCCTCTTGACCTCCTTTTGCTGTCTTCTTGCTCTAACTAGAACCTTAAGAACTTTACAAAATAGATATGGAGAGAGTGACAACCTTGTCTTGTTCCTGACTTCAGTGGGATCGCTTTGAGTTTCTCTCCATTTAGTTTGATGTTGGCAGTCGGCTTGCTATATATTGCCTTTATTATATT